TTCTCTCCCTCCCTCTCTCTCTTCTCTCTCTTTCTCTCTCTCTCTCTCTGTCTCTCTCTGTCTCTGTCCGTCTGTTTCTCTCTCTCTCTGTCTGTGTGTGTGTGTGTGTGTATCTCTCTCCCCTGAAGTTGCAGGAAACTGAAATATTTTTCTTTTTTAAAAAAAACATCCATAAATCAAAATGCCCCTTTTGTCCCAACTCGGGACATTATCTTTGAACTCCAGTTCAAAGCTTAGAACTCAAAATAATGTTATTTAGCTTGGAGAATGAAAAGGGCCATTATCAGCTTGCAATACCAGTTCCTAGATAAATATGAGAAAAAAATTACAAATAGTAAAATCTAAAGGTGGAACAGTCAACCTATGAGAGAGACCTCTATCTCTGGAGGCTTTTAAGGCTGATTTTTATAAGTGGTATAATTATTTTTCTTCCACATTGTAGAAGGTTGGCCCTATCTAACAAAATGCATTTTAATGGTGAGAAAGTAAGGTTTTGACACTTCGGCAAGAAAAACAAAATGCACAGGTACAGAATAGGTGGTACCTGACTCAACAGCAGTGACTGCAAGGAGGATCTAGGCAACCACATAAATATGACCCAGCACAAAAATGTGCTAAAGTAAAGGTAAAGGTTCCCCTTGCGCATACGTGCTAGTCGTTTCCAGCTCTTGTGGGTGATGCTTATCTCTGTTACAAAGCCAAAGACCCAGCACTGTCCGAAGACTTCTCCGTGGTCATGTGGCCGGTATGACTAAGCATCAAAGGCACATGGAACTTCCCATCAAAGTGGTCCCTATTTTTCTACTTTCATTTTTATACACTTTCCAACTGCTAGGTTGGCAGAAGCTGGGACAAATAACAGGAGTTCACTCCATTATGTGGTGCTAGGGATTTGAACCGCCAAACTGCTGACCTTTCTAATCAACAAGCTCAGCGTCTGTCTTAGCCACTGAGCCACTGCATCCCTAAAAGGTGCTACAACTGCCAAAAAAAACACCATGAAATCCTAATCTGCATTAATAGAGGGATAGGATCAAGAACACATTGAATATTATTACCGCTTTATATTGGCAGTGAAAACAATTAATGAGTGGAACAGCTTGTCTCCAGAAGTTGTGCGTACTCCATCGCTGATATTTTAAGAAGAGATTGGACAGCCATTAGTTCAGAATGGTGTAGGATCTCAAACTCAAGTAGAGGATTGGACTAAAAAGACCCCCAAGACCCCTTCCAACTCTGTTATCCTGTTACTCAGTTCTTGGTGATGGGCTAAATTTCTGTCTGGAGGTTGCATCATTTAAGAACCATCCACCTGAACAATTCTATTTCTTCTACTGCTCCTAAACTTGAAAGTTAATCCAGTATTTTTTTTTTCCTGATCATGCCTACTTCTCGGAGTTTTATCCTCAAATGCTAAACCCTACACTTTTCAGTTTTTTGGAAGGGAGAAATGCCCCCATTTTCGGTATTGAATATAATTTTCCAGGCCAGTACAAGCAAGACGAAACAGAGAGCTAACATTTTCCTTATTCAAACTGCTTTTCAGTCCTTATATCTCAGTGAATGGATAGAGAGCAGGAGCGATAGCTTTTTTAAATTAAAAAAAAAATAGACTTAGGAAGAAAATAGAAGTGGGGGCCACCTACCACTTTCCAAGCTCTTTTTCATAGCAGCAACATGATTATATTGATTTTATAAGCAGCAGTTTTCCTGTTAGCTGAGTTAAGCTATCACTATCCAGTCTATTTTCCCTCAGAAGAGAGGCAAGATTTGGATTAGTAATTCTCTTTCAGACTGCCCCAGAGTGAAGTTAAAGAACTCCAGTAAAGCTAGATTCAGACAGCGTGGAACTGGATGTCAGTTTAGTATCTTTTCTTATGGGAAGGAAGAAAAAAAAATAGCACACTTAAAACTCAGCCCCTATGTGAAACCAACCATGGTAGTTTGTAAAGCGGTGTTGGGCTAAACGGACTTCCTTTAGAATGCACAAATCAAGATGGCCAGAGGATAGTGTATCTCTGTTCCAGGGTGGTCTGCTACCGGTTTGCACCAGTTCGGGCGAACCAGTTGTTGGTGAACTGGCAAATCCCACCCATGGCTAGCCCCTCCTGCCCCTCCTCTCCCAGTAGTCCTTGCACAACCCGTTTTGGATTTCAGGTAAGTGCAGGGCCCGTGCCAAGGCTCGGGGAGGGCCAAAAAAGGGGCATACCGGAAGTTCCACAAGGCTGGAAACGGGCCCATTTCCAGCCTCCAGAGGGCCTCCAGAGCTCGGGGAGGATGAAAACAGCCCCCG